CCTTCCTTCCTTCCTTCCTTGGTGCTGTCCAATTTGGACTTACATGGGAATAAACTAGAAAAATAAAATAAAATTACTCACGTGACTTTATTACATTAGATGAATCTACCAGACGTGGTACACTAAGTCTATCTAAAAATTTCTTTTTTAAAAGACAATTTTCATGAAATGACCCCACCTTTTAAATTTCGCATCTTGCTTCTAATTCATCTTTTATATCCATAACATTTATATATATATTCAAAAAATATATATGTATTTATCTTCTAATAGTTTATACATAGATACATGTCCGTATGTCCATCATGTCTATCTCAATTTCATTTTTTTTTAATGTATATATGTTTATATAAAGGCCAAATTTATATGTATATAATCTCCAAATATATGAAGGTACCTTTATACTTTTGCAGAAAAAAAATTTCATGACGCCTGAAATTTCACAAGGATTATGTTCATCCAAAGTTAATTTGATAACATCATGCACCTCTCTCAATAAGAGGCAACAAATTTTAAATCTTTGGCTTTTATATAAAACATCGATTTAATATATGATTAGTATTACATGTGAAATAATAATTTTTATATTTTTTAACTATAATAGGTGTTTAATCTATTTATAATAGAATTTGATTTAATTATAAATAGTTTCATAAATTAAATTAGTAGAAGTGAAATTTTTATTTTTATTTTGTTTCATTTCAAATGCAAAATTTTAGATTTTTATATTCAAGTGTGAGCTAAAAAGAATGTAAAATCAATGTGGTTTTGTAGTAGCTCATTTCCGGTCGTTCTAATCGGAATGGCCTGATCCCGCTACACCATCTCCGTCTCATGCAGTTCCGTTCCTTCTAAACTAAATTAACAGATTGATCGGCAGGCCCAGCCGCTTCAAGCGCGTGAGGTTGACATTGCTTACCAAAAAGCACGCATGCTGTTTTTTCTTTTTTTTTTTTTTTTTTTTTTGCACGCATTATGCTGATTTTTTTTCTTTGTCTTATTTTTTTTTTTTTTTTTTGTATTTTTTTTTTTAACTTTGGATTTATGCACAATTTAACGAAAATGGAGGAAACTAGTTTTACACATTGGACGGGAAAATAAAAATATTTTTTTTTAGAAATTAAATGATGCATATATAAAAATTTTTTAAATAAAATTATTTTTGAAAAAAATGATTTTATAAAAGAATTGAGAGATCATGTAATGCTATAAGTATATTTGAAATAAGCTCTTTTTCTCTCTAATATTTAATATAGGTTAATTTAACTTATTCTTGCTTGTTTCTAAAATAATGATTGAATGATATATGTGTTTGTTAAAATTTATTGAATTTAATCAATATAAATTTAAATGAATACAACCCTAAAAGATTTGATTAATTAAAATGTTTTTAATTTTAGGATTATTTAAAAAAACCATAAAAAATTGGAAGTTATAATTAAATTAAATTATCTCATTGTTGATAAAAAATATAAATATTAAATATCATACTTGGGAAATAGTAAAAAATATATAAATAGTTTTTTTTTTTTTTTTTTTTTTGTAATTTTTTTAACTTTGGATTTATGCACATTTACGAAAATGGAGGAACTGTTTACACATTGGAGCGGGAAAATAAAAATATTTTTTTTAGAAAATTAAATATATTTTAAAATTTTAAATAAAATTATTTTTGAAAAAATGAATTTATAAAAATTTGAGAGACAGTAAGCTTAGTAATGGAATAGTTTTTCTCTCTTATTATATAGGTTAATTTCATTCTTTGCTTTTCTAAATAATGAATTGAATGATATATTTTTTAAATTTATGAATTTAATAATATAAATTTAATGAATACACCCTAAATTTGATTATTAAAATGTTTAATTTAGGATTAATTTAAAACATAAAATTGGAGTTTATATTAACTTAATTATCTCATTGTTGATAAAAAATAATAAAATATTAAATATCATACTTTGGAAATAGTAAAAAATATATATAGAAATCATATATTAAAAATATTAAAACCTGAAAATATAAAATTCTTTAATTTTATGATTTTTTTTTCATTTTCAAAAATCAAATTAATTTTTTTCCTTTTTTTTATTCTTGTTTTTAGTTCTTAATAATTATTTTTTTGTAAAACAACATCAGAGATTCAGAATGTGATAGTTTTTCTTAAATGAGAATTAATTACTAGTTTGGTATAAAAATTGACCCACGTATAAAATGGAAGTAGTTAACTATTTCCATTCAATTATACTCCGTTTATTTCCATAAAATAATTTACAGTGAAAATAACTCGCTGAAAAATATTTTTCAAATAACTTATTTTCAATTGTTTGATTATAATATTGAAAATTAGTTAAAAATATTAAAGTCTTTATCTCATAAGACCTTAAAAATATTAATAATAATATAAATTTTATAATTTAAAATTTTATTGTTAAATATGAAAGAATGCAAAAAATATATATATATAAATTATGAAAGTCGCCGGTGGCCGGTGATGGTAGCCGATGGTGGTGGTCAGTGATAAATGGTGACTGGTGATAGTAATTATGATGATTAATAAATTAAAAAATATGAATTTATAAGGTTTGTCAATGTCTATAAAATGTTTTATTCTTTCAAAAATGGAAAATTATTTTTTTTTTTAAAATGAATTAATTTTTCTTGGACCAGATTGAAATAGTTTTCTGAGCGCCCCAAACAACGAAAAATTATGAAAAATATTTTTATGTAAGTTATTTTACAAAAATAAATGAAGCCTTAATTTCAAGCTCCTAAGCATAAAATGGTGCTACTTTGTAATTTATTTTACTCTTGCTTTTTTAACTTTCTTTGGAGTAGAATGCTCATTTCATTTATACCGTTATTTTCCATAAACATACTCTTACTCCATTGAATTTGATATACCAATTTCGAATCATACTTTCTGAAAAAACAAATTTTTTTTTTGAAAGTATGTACTATTTTGAAGCAAACAAGATTTAAAATTTAGATTCGAATTTTTCTTTTCTAATTTGAAAAAAATAAATTTAAAAATCAAATGTTTTATAATAGGATGTAAAAATATTACTAAATTTCCATTTTTCTCTTTTTCCCTAATAAAAAAATAAAAAAGAAAAATCAATGGTTGGTGCTTTGGAGGAAAGTAAAGATCAGTCGAGAATACACAAGACTGAACACATCAGCATGAGGATGCGAAGCTGACGGAAACACCATAAATAGTTGCCTTTTACAATTATTTCTCAACATAGAAATAAAGCCTAATCCCATCCAAAGCGCGCGCTGTTCACGTAACTACAAGTGCCTAATGGCGGTTGAGTTTGCCTAGGCGCTCATGCTTATTCCATGTTTGTTTATCCAAGAATGATTTTTCTAATGTTATCCAAACACTTGCTAGATTCGTTTTTACCATCTTCCACCAATCATCCAACGTTGATGAATCCAGCTAGATTTAGTTTTGGTCGATACACGTACGGAACATATAATTAATAAATTAACATCTAATTAATTTGTAAATGATATAATAAAATATAAAATAGGCCATAAATAATTTTATATATAATAGGGAAAATAAAAGGACATTGGCATTTCATTTATATGAATTCTTAATTCAGCGACTTCTAATAGTGGAAATACTGTAAGTTAATTGTCTTATTGACCCAACAATGCTAATTATATATTTCAACTTTTAGTTTTTAATTATTTTTTAGTATTGAGAGACGGAGATTCGAACTTAGATTTATTACCGGATCGTATATATACTTAACACTATGCTATATTTTAGTGTGCATTTTTTATTTTTAATTTTTTTAAATATTGTAATGCAATATCTTATCAGTCTTTTGATTTATTATTTTCTAACGTTTTTTTTTTCATATATAGGTAGGGCTTGAGCAATACTATTTGGTTAGCTAATATATAGTGCTAATGAATTCAATTAAAACAATGAATAATCGTTGAAATAAGTAATTCAATATTTTTTTCAAAGCGAGATTGAAGATGCAATTTTTATAGATGAAGTAAATATTTGCTATGAGCGCTTTAATTTTTAATGGACTAACCCAACGCGAACAAAATTTATTTTTAATCTAGTGAGCTATGAATGCTTGTAAAAATATTTAAAAAAAAAGTCAACCAAGAAAACGAAAATAGTAACGGATGAGTATTTATGTTCATTTATAGAATATCCATCTAAAAAAGAAACATAATTGTGTTCAAGAATTAGAATTTTTGAATTCAAATTATTATTCTTTTGGTTCATATATATTATGGAGTATTACATATTGGAAATGTAGAACATTTTCGTTTAATAAATGAAACCACCTGTTAAACAATTCCGATTTTCATTTGGGGTTAACTAAAAAAATTTAAATAACAATATATTTTATATATACAGTAAAAATTTAAATTCTCTTAGAAAACATTATATAATAATTAAGAATTAATAGTAGTGCAATGCAATTTTTGCAAGGACATGATACAAAGTTGGCCAAAAATAAAAAATCTAAGAAGCGACAAAAATTCCAGTTGAACAAATAAAATCCAACGGACAAAAGTAAAAATTCCTTATCCTACCAAACAGTGACAAAATAATAGCACCAGAGGAGAGAAGGGAAACACGCGCCAATGTTGAAAGTGGGAGAAAAGAAAGAGGCTTAATCCGAGTGCCAGGTGGCAGAGATAATTTCCATGTGAAAAACAAAAGCTAACAGAGTTTGATTTGGGAAACGGGAAGGAAAATTCGAAGTGTGGGAAGGTAAAGAAATTAGGAAACGAGGGAAAAATAAAAACGAAGGAAAGGAAAGGAAAGGAAAGGAAAAGAAGAGAGAAAGAGAGAGACAGAGAGAGAGAAAAATAAAACAAATCTTTTTGGGTGTGACGAGGACGTTCTGGTTCAAAAGCGTCTAAGTTCTCTTCATGTATCCTTTCTCTCCCTTCCAAAGGGCCCCACCTCTTGTCCTCTCTCTTTCCCTTTCTTGAAAAACAACGGCGCGGACATAAACACTCAACACGTTTTAAGTTTTCCTTCCATCTTTCCATCGGAGGAACATAGCGTTTTCCCTTCCTTTGTTTCAAATTTGAAAAACATAGAGAGAGAAGGTACATAGTATACAGCTCTTGCTTTGATCATTAACTTTTCTTTATCTTTTAATTAGCTATTAAAGAGAAGGAGTTTTCTTGGATATTGTTCGTTAGCTTCTTGCTCGTCCTGTTTTGTGGTTTCTTTAAAACCAGGTGTTGGTTTTAGGTCTATTATTACCTGTCATTCTGTCTTTCCTCTTCTTTTCTTTTCTGATCCTTTTTAATATTCTTTTAAATCTCGGGTTTTGGTAAGGGGGTTTTGCTTCTCTGGACCAATCAGGTGCGAGGAAGTGCTGTAACTGGATCATTAGTTTCTGGTGGAAAATGTGTTATTGAAGTGATTTTGAGCTATGCTTGTCTTATTTTCTCGTGTATAAGTATAAACTCTCTATTGCTCATCCTTTGAATGTTTGAGAGTAAAGAAGATCTGGAGGTGGTGGGCTTGATTTCTTTCTGCGTTTTGCAGGTACGGGTTTTTTTTTCTCTTGTTGGCCTGCATTTCTTGTTTTTCCGACTCCTTTTTTTATTTGAGAGTTGAGACCACTAGGTTGGTGGCTTTTCCAGTGATTTCTTGTTTCCTGGTTAATACTATTTCTTTTTCTTTTATATTAGAGAGGGGTCTTTTGGCGTGTGGGTTTATTAACTTCTTTTGCTTTCTTTTTATATGTTGGGCTTATTTTATTTTTGATTGAGGAAAATGTCGTGTTCTAAGTTACTGTATCATTTTCCTTTTTTCATTTAATAAAATGATCAAAGAAATCTACAAATGAAAAGGAGGAAGAGGAGAAGGGCAAAAAAAAGGTGTGCTAAGAGTTTTTAGTATGAGCGATAGGCAAGCTATCTGGACTTTGAGTTAGATCCCCAATTCACTACTGCTAATCAATTTCTTAATAAAACTTTTATTTCGATTTTTAATTTGATTGGGTTATTTGTTATTATCCTTACAGGTGATAGAAATGGAAATGGGGATGTTTAATTTTTAGATGAAGGCAGCTACTGTTCAGATTCCGTGAAAGGTTTAAACTTTATCCCGCAAATGGATTGAAATAGAGGTCGCAGCCCATTTCGGCCGAAATGTTAAAACCTTTGGTTTCTGGGCTGCTGTTGCTCTTTTTGCTCCTGATATCAGTATCTGCAAATGACAATGGCTTTTCCAGATGTAATTGTGACGATGAGGGCAGTTTATGGAGCATTGAGAACATTCTAGATTGCCAAAAAGTGAGTGATTTCTTGATTGCTGTGGCCTATTTTTCTATCCCTATTGAGCTGCTATACTTTGTTAGCTGCTCAAATATCCCATTCAAATGGGTCCTCTTTGAGTTCATCGCCTTCATTGTCTTGTGTGGGTTGACCCATTTGCTCAATGGCTGGACCTATGGCCCTCATCCATTTCAACTCATGCTTGCCCTCACTGTCTTCAAGATTTTAACTGCTCTGGTCTCATGTGCCACTGCTATTACGCTCTTCACTCTCATTCCTTTGCTTCTCAAAGTTAAGGTAAGAGAATTCATGTTGAAGAAAAAGGCAAGGGATCTTGGTCGTGAAGTTGGGATTATAATGAAGCAGAAAGAAGCTGGATTGCATGTCCGTATGCTTACTCGAGAGATTCGAAAGTCGCTTGATAGGCATACAATTCTCTATACAACGCTTGTTGAGCTATCTAAGACATTGGGATTGCAGAATTGTGCAGTGTGGATGCCTAATGAGATTAGAACGGAGATGAATTTGACACATGAATTGAATGGGGGTAATGTGGATAATTGTTCAATACCAATTACTGATCCTGATATTGTTAGGATTAAAGGGAGTGATGGTGTTAATATACTTAGGCCTGAATCTGCACTCGCCACTGCCAGCAGTGGAAACTCTGGTGAGCCAGGGCCTGTTGCAGCAATTCGAATGCCAATGCTTCGTGTTTGCAATTTCAAAGGGGGAACTCCTGAGATAATTCAGGCTTGTTATGCAATATTGGTACTGGTTCTTCCAGGTGGACAGCCTAGGTCTTGGACCAACCAAGAATTAGAGATAATTAAGGTGGTAGCTGATCAGGTGGCTGTGGCTCTATCTCATGCAGCGGTTCTTGAGGAGTCCCAGCTCATGAGGGAGCAGTTGGAGGAGCAAAACCGAGCCTTGCAACAGGCAAAAATGAATGCAATGATGGCAAGCCAAGCTAGGTTGGCATTTCAAAAGGTAATGAGTGATGGGATGAAGAGACCTATGCACTCAATTTTGGGCTTGATTTCAATGATGCAGGATGGAAATCTTGGTGCTGACCAACGGATCATCGTTGATGCAATGATGAAGACTAGCAACGTTCTATCAACATTGATAAATGATGTGATGGAAATTTCAACAAAGGACAGTGGAAGGGTTCCATTGGAGATTAGATCTTTTCGGTTGCATGCCACAATCAAGGAAGCGGCTTGCCTGGCCAAGTGTTTGTGTGTTTATAGGGGCTTTGGTTTTTCAATTGAGGTTGATAAGTGCTTACCTGATCATGTCTTGGGTGATGAAAGGAGGGTTTTTCAATTAATTTTGCATATGGTTGGTAATCTTCTGGATGGAAATAACAGGAGAGGGTATGTGGTACTTCGGGTATTGCTGGAGAGTGGAAGTCAGGAAAATAAATGGGCAGCCTGGAGACATAACACGCCTGATGGGGATGTATATATCAGATTTGAAATCGCGATGAACAATGACGGTTCTGAATCAGAGGGTTCAAGTTCAGTTGTGCAGGTTGGCGGTAGGAGGTATACTAGTGATGGAACTGAGGACAGCTTGAGCTTCAGCATTTGCAAAAAGCTGGTCCAGGTAAGAATCTAAATTTAGCATGTTGCATAAATGCACAACTTATATATGGTCATAGACTTTTCATCCTTTGTCCAAAATTGTTGTGTTGTCAATGATAAGAAAGGTACACATTAGTATCATTTCTTGTTAATTTAACCCAATCTTCATCTCCCATCAAGCATATTGGTCTTCTCTCAAGTCTCGAAGCATTTTTGTTTTGTTCAGTGAAGACTCCTTCTCTTCCCATTGTATCTACGTGATTGTTAGTGAAGCCCTTTCTGCGCATATAAGATTTCTGGATCCTTTAGAGTGGCTTGTTTCTCAGAGACATTAAGAGTTTACCGTTAGATTTTGATTTTAAGTAGCTTTTGTTGATTAATATGCCTGCTATGCACTGTCTCTTCTTAGTTATGTTAGCTATGCTTTATGTAGGCACCATTTGTAATTTGTTTGTTTATAGACCAAAAGCCTGTGAATTTCTTGTATTGCATTTTTATTGAATGTCGTTATCAGTTATAATTTCTTTTAAGAAATAGTGCTGATGTTTGCTAATTTGCGATTGGACCTGCATAGGACATTTATGGATTTTGATATTTGCCAACCTATTGTCAATGGATTTTTTGATGAATGCTTATAGTGTACTACTTTATTCGTTTGAATTGCATTGAGGACCTTTAGATGCTGATCTGGGAAATATTTTACATTTCATGCTGTGGTACCAACTATTCATGTCTAGTTAATTGGTATTTTGGGTGACACCATTTAAGTGATTATATGGCTCTAAAATCATCCCCTAATTGTTTTTGCTCCCTCAAATCATCTTTGAATTTAATACCTTACTATTTTTGTTTCCAATATTTGTATAATTGGCAGTTGATGCACGGGAACATCTGGGTAGTTCCCAATGCTCTAGGTTTTCCACAAAGCATGGGACTGGTTCTTCGGTTTCGGCTCCGCTCATCTATTCCTGTAGCCATGTCTGAATCTGGAGAATCTTCAGAGCACCCTCATTCCAACTCTCTTTTGAGAGGCTTGCAAATTTTGTTAGCTGATGCAGATGATGTGAATAGAGCTGTGACACGGAAACTTCTCCAGAAGTTAGGTTGTGATGTTGCTACTGTTTCATCTGGATTTGATTGCCTTAGCGCCATTGGGCCGGGTACATCTTCTTTCCAAATTGTTCTTTTGGATCTTCAAATGCCTGACTTGGATGGATTTGAAGTCGCTTCAAGGATCAGGAAGTTCCGCAGCCGTAGTTGGCCGCTGATCGTCGCCTTGACAGCAAGCGCAGATGAAGACATATGGGAAAAATGTTTGCAAATTGGAATGAATGGAGTCATTCAGAAACCAGTTATGCTGCAAGGAATTGCAAATGAGCTTCGACGAGTTCTTGTGCAGGCAAACAAAGTCATCTGATGGCACATTCTGTAAGTTACACGAGTGATTGCAGTCGCCTTAATTCAACCAACCAAACCTGCTCCGGGGCCGAACTCAATAGAATAAGCAAAAGCTAAAAATGCCCCTTCTCCCCTTAAAACTCCCACCAAGCATCTAGCATAGGAATGTTTACATATACGACATTTACAGTCACAATGGTATACGAAATTAGCTCCTTATTGCCTTCTCATGATTTGAAGGAAGTCTTCCTGCTCTATAATATTGCACATTTAGTTAATTATAACATATTATCTAATTGTCTTGTACAACACTCTTAAGATAACTGACCGACATTGCGAGCTTGATTATTGCAGGTTCCTTTACAATTCGTAGACGAGAAATACTATAGACATCCAGTAGAACAAGTGAATAACAATAGAATAAGTGAATATATATATTTTCTAATTTAATTTTTTGTTTCTATGGATGATGTTATTTGTTCTTTTGTTATAAGCAGACTTCGCCGTGCCCAATGGCACATTGAAGAAGACAACTAAATGTTAAGCTTAAGCTAGTTAGCGCTGATTATATAAAACGACCAGACTTCATTACGTTTTTTAGATAATTAAATCTGTATTAATGTCAAGAAGTATATATATTTTTTTGTTATTAATGTTAGATTAGGAAGTTTTGGAAACTCATGACGAACACTTGGATTAAATTAAATATTTTGTTTTTTTGGGCACTAATCTTTTGTTTGAGAAAGTCAGAGTCTGTAGGAAGAACAATAAGGTGAGTGAAGATACATATGGGATGTTTTTCGCTAATTATTTTGGAAAAAGATCATGCATGAATCTCAATGCGTACGTAGACTTCTTTTCGGTTCGATATGACACCAAGTGGACCCGTCTAACCTTTCCTTCACTTATGCTTTTTATTTTTTATTTTTTTAATTAATTTCTATACATCAACATCACGTTCGAAATTTGGAAAAATTTATAAAAAATGGAATTAAACTAAGTATGAATTATGTTGTTTAATTATTAATTAAGTGAATAAAACTCAAATCTCTTTATCATAAAAAAAAATAATTCACATATTTAAATTAAAAAAAAAGGTGTAGAATCAAATGGTATTTTTTTTATACTTAAAAATTTTCATGTAATTTTCAATGAAGTGATTATTTATCTAATCTTAATTAAAGCTAGGTGTAGATAGTTTTAGTCTACATGCAAGTTCCCTAATATTATTAATTAATTAATTGTTATAGATTTCGTTATCAACGGCTGACAATTTGGCCTATATGCATTTTTTTTAGTTCACCTATGTCATTATCTTATTGAAAATAATATATCGTTTATTTATATATTTTTGCCATTGTTGACTAATTCTATACAGAAAAGCAAAATTCTTGTTACCAACGCATTCAAAATTAATTTTATTGGAAAGTGGCATTTTTTTTTAAAAAAAAAAACCTAATAATTCATTAATAATGCATATAAGTTAAATACATCATAACATTCCAATCGTATAAGAAATATAAATATAGAAAATTGAAATATTCTATTTGGAGATGTTCTTGATCGTCGTAGAAAGATTAATATTTTAGGTAAAAATCTGTCCATTTTCAAATAGGACGATAAAAAAAACCTTTCACAATACGAATATTATTTTTTCGGAAATTTGTTACAACTGATGCTCATAGAAGAGTTTAATATACCAAACTTTAACGGAGAAACATGCCGCACTACCAGGCTCTATTAGTAAAAGAAACTTATCCGAATTTGAAGATCTGAGGTCTCCAACCATAAGCAATCAACAATCTATCTTGTCTTTCGAACTACGTGAGAAATAAAAGATCCATATAAAAACTCCTCATATTGAGGAATAACCCTATGAAAGGAAAGAAATTAATAATCCCATTAAGAGCGTAGCAAAAATACTCAAGATTTAAAGATTTGAAATACTAGATCTAAATTTTATTCCAAACCATTATAGGTTTGAAATTATTAAAAAAACTAAACAAAATAAAGAAAAACAATAGAGAATGATGAAAAGAAATCACCGCCGACTAAAAAAGACGATCAACGGTAATTTAGAAGTAAAATCTAAAAAAACACAAAAAAGAGAAAATCGGAGAGAGACAATAAAATATATTGGAAAGTGGCATTTGGTGGTGGCTTATTGAGCATCAATTATTTAGGATTGGTGAGTTTCCTCTAGCTATTTTTGTAACCTTATTCCTACATATCGCTCTCCTTTGATTTCCCTATCCACTTTCTTTATTTAAATGCATAATTTTTTTTGTTTTCTTCTTTAAATGAAGAGAACTTTATTTAATATTTCTTCAATGGAGGTCGTGTCTGATGGAGACCGGCATGGAATCTTGATTCTTTCAATCAAGAAATTGGTCAAACAAATGAAGGATTATGGGCCTAAAATTAAAAAAAAAAAAAATCCTATATTGCAACTTAGGGCAAAAGCTTTTTTTTTTTTTTATTGCTAAAAAAAGATGTATATAATGTGGGGGGAGTTTGCTTTGTTCTTTGTAAAAAGTTTAGTGGCAGGGGGTTTGTATCCCAAATATAATATCACAATCCACTTTTAAGTTTGTCTTTGTTGACTTTATTAATTTGGATAACTTGAAGTGAATCGCATGACTCTATAGCAGCTTGTTCATAAATATATTTTAAACTAATTTTAATTTTATGTTTTTTATAATTATACGAGGTATTCAGGTCCGTGTCCATTTTAAAGGTCGCGTAGAATCAAACCCATAAATTAAATCATAGTAATTAATATCATAAATGCTCTTTATGGCTGAATTAATTTAAACTTTATTAATTAGTTAATATTTTCTTGGAAGAATAAAAAAAGAAAAAGAAAATGAGTTGGGTGTCAAAGGGGTCTGTATGCAATATTTTTTTAATTGAAAAATTTATAGTACCATGAAAATGAAGGTTAGATTGCATAGGATATAGATACTAGATAGAGAAGGTGATTTGTACTTTAAATTATTATTTTTTTATCAATTGATTTATCTAATTACTTACGTGCCCCAATATCATGGAAGGAAGTAACCCTATAAAATATATAAAAATGGAAAGAAGCCCTAAGCCCCAATATATTTAACCCTATTAAGCTTTTGGGCAGTGGAGATTGAGAGAAATTTGAGGTTTCTGAATTGAGTAATTAATTTGGATTTTGCTGTCTACTGCATTTGTTTGATTAAAAAAATTATGGACATACTTTAACTAACATGATGATCATCACTAGCTAGTGGAATTACATATATAGGTCATGGTTACAAAGATAAGGATTTAAAGTCATTCCACTTTGCTCTTCCCTAAGTGGCAATTTGAATATTAATATGCATGCCAAATAATTAAATTGATAATGACAATGTTTATAGTTAATAGTTACAATATTAATATTGCATTAAAACAAAAATTAATTAATTTATTAAATTTTTGGGTGATGAAGTTGGTCCAATAGGAATACAGCAAAATGCATTGAAAATATGTCTAATAATTCGGTATATATGCCCACTAGTAAGGTCTCATCAAGTGAATTGATGCTTCAAAAAAATATTCATTGTACCCTAAATATGATTATTATTTTTAAAATAATAATAATAATAATAATAATAAGATATTGAATCTTAATGTAAAGGGCATTTTCTATGGTGCATGATGATGATGAATCTAGCAAAATCCAATGATTGATCTCATCGTCACATGAAAACCTATCATTCAGTTTCTGAAGAAGAAAAATGAAAAAGTTATCAATTAATCCAAATTATGTATTGTTTTTCTTTTTAGGAACAAGAAAATGAAAGTGTATGTGGTTTTGGTACAACAAGATAGATCTTTTATTCATCTCCATCTCGCTACTACTATTATTATATATTTCATATGCTTTCTAAATGGAGAAACTTCAAAGTACAAAAATGTAATTACATATTTTGTCTTGTCTTTTTTTATTAATTCATCTCTGGAACACCATTAGATTCTATTTTAATTTTAATGTAGACCATTAATCCATGCTTTGATAGGCAAGATTGGAGAAAAATAACTGAACTAATTGTGTTACAATCAACTAAATTCATAATTTCCTAAAATTGAAATTCGTTTCAAATTTTTAACTTTTCTCTGATGTTGATGTTAAGTGTTGTGCATTTCAAAAAATATGAGCATAGATTTGAAAAATAGTGGAGCCAAAATAAATTTTCTACGCAATGTGAAATAAGATACATGAAAATTTCTTTCAAAACTGGTGTATTTCTAAATAATTTTATAAGTATATTACACACTTATATACAAATTTTATCCTAATTTGTGCTTATATATTCAAGTGCATATGTTATTAACTCTCTTGCTTGAAGACATAAATAAATATAAACATCATCATAAGTAAAAATTGTGATTATTGAATAGAGAGAGAATATGCCTTAATCATGTGCAAACTAAAAAAAGAAATAATTGTATTTTTGAAAAATGTCATTCTTTTCTTTAGGGTGGCCACTTGGCCCACTATTAGCACTTGATTTGTTGTGGATGAAAGCCTAATCAAAAATAGTGAAGGGTCCCAAACCATTGATGGGCTTTTCTTTGGGATGCTATGGAACAGGCCACAAGGCCCACCATTTATGTTATAAATTATGCCATTAGAATCAAAAGGGATGCTGTTAAACTTGCGAAAAATAATAGTTTTGGGGCAATGATTTTGTTGACAGAGTGCACACCAGGTGCTCGAGAAAATGGGTAAGCTATGGTGGTTGTATTCGACCAAATAAGCTAGCAATGAATTGAGACGTGGCAAGCTGCAGCATAATTTTGAAGGAGTAGTGTAATTGGAAAGGGACCATTTTTTATTTTTGAGTGCTATAAACTTTAAAAGGAAGCAATTTTATGAGTTGAGCTTACTTTCCTTGAATTCAATTTGGTTCGGGAAAGAATTGTGATAAGCATGTACCTGCATGAAGATACATGTATCAGGGTGGTTCATGAATTATATAAATTGTTTAAATTTATTTAAACCGATTTAAAATTGTGATTTTGAAATCATAGTAAACGGCCATATTGATTTGATTTATACAAAGTTTTCAAATCGAACCAAAACACGCTATAGTTGTCTGATGCAGATTCTCGCACGGTTTATATGGGAGATGCAGCAGGAGTCGTCGATTTGCTGTAGATCAAAGCCAAGGAAACAATAGAGTAGGGCCACAAACCTTGATGGGCTTCTTTGAATTCGTACGAACTAGCCCGCCATTCTGTTTTAAGATATTTTTGGGCCGGTTCTGCTTTATATACACTTTGATATTTGGGTTCGAACCCAAAACGTCCACTTGAAATGAGCAATAGGACGTTATTTTTTCCTATACCATAAAAATTTTATAAATGGATGTGGATTGCTAGAGAAAAAATCGTAGTAATCGATTGAAATTTACTTATATAAAATTAATTTAATTTATGTTGTAT